ACAGTCAACATGGCAGTATATCTTTGGCAGATGAACAGTCTGCGCATGCGTCTTACGGTTGTGGACTTTCAGTGATCGTACATACCCTAGCCCTATATAATTCAATTTGCAGGAATTATTATCTTTTAACTAATGTTAGTCGTGTTTTGCCTTACTTTACTAAATCACTATTCGAACTAGTGGGGCGCATGGCATTATGCCTTGAGGCAAATTGCTGGAACTTCCCGTACCAAAAATTACTATTTATTTAAAAACGATAAACATTTTTGAAAAAAAAATTACTTCGAAAAAATTAGATTTTTGAGAAACTATACATTTGATAAAAAATTACTTTTTTTTGAAAAAAAAAATGTTTTCTTTATTTTGACATACTTTGGAAATTCTGAACTTTTTAACTTCTCGTAGAGCAAGTTATAGTAATCGCAAAAAAATCGAAAATGAAAATTTTTATATTTCTTTACGTTTCAGAGGTTTCTGAACATTTCGGCATACCTTAGAAAAAATGGATGTATGTGTGTGTATGTGTGTGTGTGTGTATGTATGTGTATGTGTGTATGTATGTGCAGATACAAATTTTCGTCGACGATTTCGGGAACACGGATCAACCGATTTTAATAATTCAAAAAACAATCGATTCGTATTGATAAGGAGACATGCTGATTAGTTTTTGGCGAAGGCAGGTCTAGCCGTTTCGAAGATACGGGGCAAAAAGTGCCGAAAACGGTAACTCAGTTTTCAAGAGAACGGAGCGTCCGATTTGAATAATTCAAAAAACATTTTACTTGTATTGACAAGATGAAGAATTTTCATGAAGGAATCACATTTTCATGAAGGCAGGTCTAGCGGTTTTGGAGATCTAATGATAAAAGTAAAAAAAAATGCCATTTGGCGGTCAAAAATGATCATTAGACATATGCACATCAAATTATCAGAAATTTTATAGAGATTTTAACAATAAGCATAAATTTTTTTTACATTTTTATGGGTTCCGTACCAATGCTTATCCGTTAGACGGCGGCGCGGCACTTGCGCGCTTTGACATTTCGTCTCTATGCAGTTCAAGCAGTACGATTGCTTTGAAAAAAAGTTCAGAATTTCCAAAATAAGTCAAAATGAAGAAAACATTTTTCTTTTCAAAAAAATTTTGTTTTCAAAAAAAATTTTTTTTTCAAATTAGTAATTTTTTGTCAAATTTATAGTTTCTCAAAAATCTAATTTTTTCGAAGTAAAATTTTTTCAAAAATGTTAATCTTTTTTAAAAAAATAATAATTTTTGGTACGGGAAGTACCAGCAATTTGCCTTAAGGCACGATGCCTTAATTGCCTTAAGACAGAATTTCACTTAGAGCTAGTTTTCAAAGCAATCGTACTACTTTAACTGCATAGAGACAAAATATCAAAGCGCGTAAGCGCCGCGTCGCCATCTAACGGATAAACATTGGTACGGAACCTATAGGAATGTAAACAAAATTTATACTTATTGTTAAAATCTCTATAAAATATTTCATAATTTGATGTGCATATGTCTAATGATCATTTTTGACTGCCAAATGGCTTTTTTTTTTACTTTTTTCATTAGATCTCCGAAACGTTTCAAAGGTTTCTGAATATTTTGGCATACCTTAAAAAAAATGTATGTGTGTGTGTATGTGTGTATGTGTGCGGATACAAATTTTCGCCGACGATTTCGGGAACACCGATCAACCGATTTGAATAATTCAAAAAACACTCGATTCGTATTGATAAGGAGTCCAGCTGATTAGTTTTTGGCGAAGGTTTAGTCGTTCCGAAGATACGGGGCAAAAAGAGCCAAAATGGTAACTCAGTTTTTAAGAGAATAGAGCGTCCGATTTTAATAATTCAAAAAACATTTTACATGTATTGACAAGATAAAGAACTGATTAAATTTTTGGGAAGATAGATCCAGCGGTTATGGACTTTCAATAAAAATAATTTAAAAAAATGACATTTGGCGGTCAAATATGTTTATTGGTCATATGTACATCAAATTATCAGATATTTTATAGAGATTTTCATAATGTGTACACATTTTGTGTAAATTTTTTTTGGGTTCCGTACCAAGATTTTTAATTACGGTACGAAAAGTTCCAGCAATTTGCCTTGGCACGATGTCATGCACCCCACTAGTTTTATATTCTGTTTCTTTCAAATTGTAGTGCACTGAAGATGACTTATTAAAATAAAGTGTCAAAACATATGGAATAATAATATTTTTATAAATTTTTACAATTTATTAATTGATGTATTTTCCTGAAGATTGACTCTCACATGTTTCAATATCAAAATTATTAAACTATTTTAACACACACACATACACACACATATATGCATATATATATATATATATATATATATATATATATAGAATTTTATGATATGAGTGGAACGAATATTAATTGTTTAATATGAACAAAACAGCACTCAGATTTGTTTAACACAACTTTATTTTATGATTACAGACGTTTCGAGACCATGGTGTGTCTCATCTTCAGTGTAATTTCAAAAACAGTTACTTATATACTACACATTCTTTAATAATTTATTTAAATTTCATTAAATTTTTGATATACAAAAAACACCAACTATTCCTTGCAATGCTTGACACAGTACTAAAGAAACATATAACACTTACAGAAATATTCTAAACAAATTTCAAGTACTTATCTAGATGGAGACAGAATGGGTATCATTATAATGTAAACAAAAGGAGTGCTGTCGCATACAAAAATCGATAAAAATGAAAAAAACAAATTAATTTATTGAAAAGAATAAGATAAATGAAAAATTTTTTATAAATTATTAATGATGTTTATATAAGTGTCATGTAAAATATTTGTGTCGGTTCTTAGATTTATGCTATTGTTAGTCCGAACTATCAACATTGATTCTGCCATGCTCCGTTTAAATAAGTCTTTCTCATGGAATAAAATTTGGGGATTGTCAAAATCAAACTTATGGTTGTTGATATTAGCATGATCCACAAGTGTACTTTTAAATTTTTTGTTATCTATTTTTTCACATTGTAATTCATGTTGCCTGAGTCTCTTTTCTAAGTTCTGGCAGGTCTGGCCAATATAAGAGCAATTACAATCCAAACAATTTACTTTATAAACTATATCTTTCTTTTTTGTTAATGGAGTTTCATCTTTAATTTTGGAATATAAAAATTTTAATTGTTTTAATGAAGAAAAAGTAATACGAATATTGTGTTTTTTGAAAAGTCTTTTTGATAATTGGTTAAAATTATTGTCAAGATATGGAAAATTAATGAAAAAAGTTTTTTCAGGAACACTTGTTTTGCCAGGCTCTTCCGGTTTCTTATCAAAAGGTTCAAGTAATTTTGCGATAATTGGACTAATTAACTAATTTGTCCAATTACTATTTTTAATAATTGGACAAATTAACTTATATGGAAAATTATTGCCAAGTAGGATCGTTTTAACTAATTTTATGTTTGTATCATAAAACAGAGGATCAGATAATAAAATAGCGTGATCTACAAGATTTAGAATGGTAGAAATTTTTATATTGAGAGGAACATGCGAATTAAAATTAATGTATCTCCCGGACCAACTATCTTTTCTGTACCAGTCTGTATAACATACACCGCCTCTATTAATGAGTTTTACGTCAAGAAAATGTAACGTCGAATCATTTTCAAGTTCCTGAGTGAATTGTAAAAAAGAATTGTACTCATTGAATTTGTTGAAAACATTATCTATATCTTTTTTTAAGTAATATTAATGTGTCATCGACATATCTGAAATAAACCATAGGTTTGGAAGGTAAAGAATTTAAGACATGATTTTCCAAATCTTGTAATACTAAATCCGCCAAAACAGGACTTAATGGGCTGCCCATTGGACAACCTCTCTTCATCGTATAATATTTTTTATTAAAAGTGAAATATGATGCTTTTAAAAGTAATTCTATTCCTGAAATAAAAATTTCCATCGGTAAACATGTGAATTCAACTATTTGCATCCATCTTTTCTTTATAGCTGTAATAATTAGATAATGTGGAAGATTATTAAATAAATTAATGACGTCCAGACTCATAAAGGAACAATCAGGAGGAATTACTTTATGTTTTATATGTTCTATTAACTGGAAAGAGTTATTTAAACGGTATGGAGAATCTATGGTGACATTCTTTAAAATATCTGAAAAATATTTTGCTAAAAAGTAGTATGGCGAATCAATGTAGGAAACAATTGGTCTAAATGGGCAATTAGGTTTATGGATCTTTGGAAGGCAATAGAATTTTGGGGTTAAAGGATGTTGTACTTTTAACTTTAATGATATGGTATTATTGATATGTCCCTTTTTCTCTAATAAATTTATAAATTTAAAAACTTGTCTATGGTGATAGTTGTTCGGATCCGATGCCAATTCTGGCATTCTGGCATTCTGGCAATTCTGAGCATGGCAGAATCAATGTTAATAGTTCGGACTAACAATAGCATAAATCTAAGAACCGACACAAATATTTTACATGACACTTATATAAACATCATTAATAATTTATAAAAAATTTTTCATTTATCTTATTCTTTTCAATAAATTAATTTGTTTTTTCATTTTTATCGATTTTTGTATGCGACAGCACTCCTTTTGTTTACATTATAATGATACCCATTCTGTCTCCATCTAGATAAGTACTTCAAATTTGTTTAGAATATTTCTGTAAGTGTTATATGTTTCTTTAGTACTGTGTCAAGCATTGCAAGGAATAGTTGGTGTTTTTTGTATATCAAAAATTTAATGAAATTTAAATAAATTATTAAAGAATGTGTAGTATATAAGTAACTGTTTTTGAAATTACACTGAAGATGAGACACACCATGGTCTCGAAACGTCTGTAATCATAAAATAAAGTTGTGTTAAACAAATCTGAGTGCTGTTTTGTTCATATTAAACAATTAATATATATATATATATATATATATATAACATATAAATTCGAAAATTAAATTTACCTTTAATGATAATTCTTTTACGACAGGCTTCACAATGCTGTTCATCAGTTATAGCAATTCCTTGTTGTTGTTTGAATGTCAGCTTCTCGTGCATATTAAAGTAATCGCATACTAATATTTGATTACAACCTGCTTGAATTGATACCTATTAACATATAAAACATGATGTAAATTTATAAATTTTATTTTGATATAGATGAAATATAAATGAATTTGATTTTAAAGTATCTACACAAACTTAAGTGCAAATAAATAATCGTCTACTACAGAAACCAAATTCAGTATGTATTATTTGTCTTGTGAGTGCTTTTGAGATGTATAATTGTAAATAATCGACATATTTTAATCTATCAAGAAAGTTTACTAATAACTTTTTGTTTAAAACTTTATTATTCACATATCAGTTTTTACATGAAATAATTATTGTTTCTTGAGGCACAGTATATGTTAAGTATAAGCTACAATTTAGGAAAATGTATTAAAAAATAAAAACTCATGTTTTTTATGTAGATATTTATTCTCTACTCAATTATGAATTTGTTAAGGTGCCAGCAAAAAATATACAATTAACGCGATTTCTAAACAGACATTATTTACTTTCCGTTTATTCACAGTTAAAATATTTAATATAGGGGGTTATAGACGTCATACCATACAACATCGGCCCCATCATGGTATTCATAGGTCTTTTCGAAAAAATCCGATATATCAATTTTCAATTTCCAAACTCATCATTTGTAGCTATATAATTGAAAATGAGCTTTTTCTTAAACTCACTTCTTAGCTCACAAAATTAGTTGAAAGTGGCATTAAACCTGAAGGCAAGTTGCATGAACTTTCCGAAACGTGTTATAATATTAATCAACCGAAATTGAGTTTTAGGTATTTAGATAAAATTTTCAACTATTTCAAAAATAAAATGTTCATATGCCCTAAAATTATAGTTAATTATTCCAAATTTTAATGACTTGTTAATGTTTGACTTAACATATCATAAAAGCAACTTCTGACACAAATGACTATAATATTTTTTTCAAACTTTGATGAATTTTTAATATTAAACTATTTGCCGCATAGTTGTAAAATTTTAGTATGTTCTTTAGGATCATGATATCTATCAAAAGTTTCATCAAGAATTTTTTTTTAACAGTTAATTACGAAAAAACGGCTCAGTCGATTTTTACCTGAAACTAATCAGTATCATTCCTACCCTGTTATTATATCTTCCAAATAATTTTTTATTTATTTAAATCGATTCAGGATTGTGAGCTAAAACGTGGACGGAAAGGTTTACACTTTTTCGCAAATTACAAAGAAACGGTTCGGCCTATCGTCAAACAAACTTGAAAACGATAGTCCTAATCGAGACGCATGAAATGGCATTCAAATTTTTCAAATCGGTCCAGCATTTTTTGAGAAAACATCGATCTGTTCGTGTAATATATATATATATATACAGACACACACATATTTTTTCCAAATTTGGTCTCATTCGATTCAGAATGACTTTAAACTCCGAGAAACCATAAAATTGGCTTATCGGATTTTTAATAAAAACATAAACTTTTCCTTCGGAAAGTTAAAAGTTAAAAATAACACATGAAAAACTGTCTCTACGCGCTCGAGTTATAAGTACCAGAATAAACATAATATTTTTACATAATAAATATAATGACTAACCTGTAAATTATAATCGCACATCATCTTTATTAATGCGTCTTTAAGGTTTGGTATTATCAAACCAGAAGCTATTTTTTGAACTAGACGTTTCGGATCTACGTAAGCACCAATGGCTTTTAGTAAATGTATGATGAACTCAGGCTTATTTAGCGAATGCTCGATCAAACCATCCCATAATTCCAGATCATTATTTTCTTGACAAAAATTAATCGCGAAATTAATATCGTTCAAATCATGTATAATAATCTGTAAAGCTTCATTCGTTTCACCGATGCGACCTGGAAAAATAATAAAAAATAATCAATTTTATCATCGTTAATTCATGCGGGAAAATTAAACTAACCTAATAAATATACCGTTTCCTGATAGAATTTATTTTCTTGACAAATATTTAAAGCGAGTTGTATTGGATAGCTATTACTACTTCTCAAAAATGGTAACAGTTTAGCTCTGCAATAAGTTGCATACAGTTCAACTAGCAATCCATGATATTGACTACAACCACATGTGTCGACCTTGTCGTAACGATCTAAATACTAAAGTACAAAAATAAATATATAAGCACAGCTAGAATTTAAAATTTAAAAATATATACCCCAGTAGTCCACTATACCAATTAAAAAATTATTTCAATGTGTAAAGCTTTATAAAAACATCAGCATCGCTATATTCATGCTTATGTAAAAAAAAAATTATAGGGTAGAGCGGTGCTTAAGGTCTGCGCCTAAAGGTTTCCAAAAAAATGAGTAAATATACTAATTTTTAACAACAATATTTGAAAGTAGAGGAATAAGGATATATAACCTTGATTCTTGATTCTTACGACGTTGTTATCTTCTCCCGATAAACGGCAATGTTTGAAAATCCACAACAAAAGTATTTTCTTATGTGGTTAGTTTTTAGTTACTTAATTGTTTTGTAAGATGTATTGTTAATTCTAAGTTAGATTCAACAGTTTTTTCATAATCTCTTTAAAAGTTTACACGTGGAAGTGATAAAAGAGCCCAACTAAAGCTTCACCCTGGCAAAGTTGTAAAATATAAAAAATAGCAAATAACAAAGTAGTAGTAGAACATGGTCAGACAGTTGTTTGTTTGATATGTGTTATTTGTTGTGATATAATTGGTTTGGTTTCTATATATACCTTTGTGCCCCGCCCTATCCTATAATATTAATGTTCAAAACAAATGAAAGGTTATAGTAAACTTAATTTCTCATATTCCGATTGAGATTATTAAAATTTTAATTATTATTATTATCCATTAATGGATTTTAATTTGAATTTTAATTATTATTATTATTATCCATTAATGGATAATACTACTCAAACAAATCTGAAAGAATCGCATATTTCATTCATGTCATTATGTGCCTTATTTTATATTTTGGGCAGATTTCAAATTTAAATTAATTTTTAAAATTGATTTATGAAACCAAAAGCTTACATAAAATGTCTTGAGACTCATTTTGGAATCGAAATATTAATTAGAAATAATAACTAAAATTTATAAAATTAAACTAACCAAAATGCGATAAAATTTTACGTTCATGTTGTAGTATAACTTTTTATAATAATTATTTTTTATAAGTCATATAATATAAGATTTGACATAAACGCATCAATTTAACACCATGAACAGTAGATGGCCCAGGCGGCGGTAGAAGGTGGGCTAGCACAAACTAATCCTGGGTTCACTGGTTCGATTGCCGCTACCGCCAAAGCTCGACATCAAGCAACTTTCATGTCAAAATTCCACTTGAGGTTATAGATCTCGGATCTCGGATATAGCTGCTTATATAATAAATGCCAACAAATACTTCGGATATAGTTAATTGAGTCACGGCTGAATTAGATAACTACTGGCTTGCAAGGATATAGGAAGATCGACTAAATGAAGACTTCGGCGTGCATTCATCTCCGGTAACATTCTTCCTGATCAGTACTACATAAAATTGAAATATTATATTGCTAACTCCACCCAACTCAAGAAATGTGAAAAAATCCTACTTGATAATAATGCACGAAATCAGAAATCAAAACCTTTGACGAGACAACGCTACAGTTAAACAAAATAATCATTCGAACCATCTAAACCTATTTATTTTCCGAAAGAATCACAAATCTAATATGAGCTGCTCGTGAGCATATCGGGTATGCCAACGATTCGATAGGTGTAATACACAGTGTATTCTTTGCGATTCCACCCACACTCTACAGACCTATTTATTTTCCGAAAAAATCACAAATCTAATATGAGCTGCTCGTGAGCATATCGGGTATGCCAACGATTCGATAGGGACGACATGACATGCAGTGGCGGATTAAGCTTTGTGCCGCCCTAGGCCCTATCTGATCAAGCGCCCTTTTTAATAGACAAACTTTTACTTTTTTAATTAAACTATAATTAACTTCCCGTAGGGTAAGTTATTGTAATGGGCCGAAAATCGGAATTGAAAATTTTTACATTTCTCGACGTTTTGAAGGTTTCTGAACGTTTTGGCATACCTCAGAAAAAATGGATGTGTGTGATTTACAGTCACGTTTTAGGGCGCACGGATCAACCGATTTGAATGGACCAAAAAACATTCGATTCCTATTGATAGGGAAAAGAACTGATTAGTTTTCGGCAAAGGCAGGTCCAGCCGTTTCGGAGATACAGAGCAAAGAGTGCAGAAAATAGAAATCGAATTTTTGAGAGAACGGAGTATCCGATTTGAATGATCTAAAAAACATTCAATTGGTAATGATTGGGAGAAGTGTTTATTAGTTTTTGGCGAAGGCAGGCCCAGCCATTTTGAAGATACGGAGCTAAATATGTAAAAAATGGCAGTTTTTGAGAGAACTAAGCGTCTGAATTAAATGATTCAAAGAACTTTCTGCTTGTCTTAACAAAATAATTGATTTTGGAAAAAATTATTATGTTCCTTTAAATATTTCAGATTTTATTTTTATTTCTGACTATAGTTCTAATATACTTTCTAAATAATTTCAACTCTGCAATTCAGTTTATATAATTCTTATAAATATTAGACAATGTTACAATATTTATAATAATCTATTTGAAAACATTCAGTATTCCTCGAACATTTCGTTACGGTACGGGAAGTTCCAGCAATTTGCCTTAAGGCACGATGCCATAATTGCCTCAAGACAGAATTCCACTTACAGCTATTTTTATTATAAATTACTTAAATACAATTTTTAACTTTGCGTAAAGTATTCGTGAGTTATAGTAATCGCAAAAGATCTAAAATGAAAATTTTTGTATGTTTTTACGTTACAGACATTTTCCCATAAGATAAGTTTGTTTTATTCCCATAGATAAGAAAATTCTGATTAGTTTTTGGCAAAGACAGGTCAAGCCGTTTGAAGAATACAGAGCAAAAGTGCAAAAATTGCAATTCAGTTTTTGAAAGAACCGAGAGACTGATTTCCGAATAATTCAAAAAAAATTTACTTGTATTAACGGAATGAAGAATTAAAAATTCAAACCAGTGGACTTGCCTTTTCGGAAAACTAATCACTTCTTCATACAATTAAAATACTACAAACAAAATATTTTTTGAGTCAGTCCAATCGGATGATCTGTACCCTCAAAACTTCATGACCACTTTTGCACCTTCTGCTATCTCCAAAAATGCTAAACCTGCCTTTGACATAAACAGTTCGCCTCGCGGTCAAGGCCAAGCGAATATTTTTTTAATCATTCATGTCGCTTGATCTTTGCAAAGGACACTTGAACTATCTAAGAAAACTTTAAAAATTAAAAATTTTGATACGGAATGATTCAAAATAATGAAGACAAAATTTGTAGTAATTAATAATATTTTTATAAAAAATCGGATATTTTTTTATATATCATTATTTATTTATATATATATATATATATATATATATATATATATATACATTATTTTCATATCTCAGTCAGGCAGAGGTGCCTGGTATGAGAGATTATGAAAAACAGTTTTCATATTCAATTTGATATGCATATTGTCCGATAATCATTTTTTTACCACCAAATGACGCTCTCACAAAATTTTCGATAGTTCTTTATTTCGTCATACAAGTGAAATGTGTCTTGAATTATTCAAATCGGACACTCCTTTTGAAAAATTGAATTGGCATTTTTTACCTTTTTGCCCCTTATACCGAAATGGATGAGACTGTCTTTGCAAAATAACTTTGCAAAAAAAGCGCGTCTTCGCGATATTATAAATCGAATGTCAATTGGCAAAAAATTGTAACCGGACAAACACATGTATACATCCATTTTTTCTAAGGTATGTCAAAATGTTCAGGAGATCTTGAAGCGTAGAGATATATAAACAATTTTATTTACGATTTTTTGGGATTATTATAACTTAGCCTTCCTGAAGTTGAAAAAAATACCAATTGCAGGAAGCATACCAAATTGTCAGATACTGTTTAGGATTCAATTTTATCCTACAGGTTATTTAAAAAAATATATTTTCATATACAAATGAGAAATGAATTTTAACATAATAAATTAATGAACAACAATTAATATATTATATTAATTCGCCATGGTTTGATTTTATACAGAAAATAAAATAAGAAACCATCGAACAATTTTTAAAGCGTTTTATATATAAGATTTACTTTAACAAAATTGCAAAAAACGAATAGCTTTTCAATATTTCTCCAAAAAAGCTTATCAGTCTGATAATTATTGTATTAAATATGATACATCAAGAAAATATCAATGCGGCACCCACGAATAATAAATTTGATTAGTAAACGTATTACGTTCTATTTCATAAAAAATGATCTCTAAATTTACAAAAAAGTTCAGGATCCATTCTTAAAATGAATTGTCGTGTTTCATGTTATCGTGTTTAAAACTTTGACATTCTGAAAAATTTGCCGCCCCTAAATTGTGCCACCCTAGGCCCGGGCCTCACGGGCACTGATGACATGTTTCAACTACTCAGAAGACTCACAATCACGTAGCAAACCCAAGCTCTCATGCTAATTGACAAAACACAATATCCGATGTTAATACGTATAATCCTGTGGTTTGAACCCGATCATGTTTAACTAATTAACTTTCTTATCTATGAATTCGAACGCAAAAAGTGGAAGCAAGAGCTTGAACTGACTGAGCAAAGCTAAAATTAAGTAATTTTGATAATTAAAACACTTCTCATAGTCCTATAATATTTTAAGCTATTCGATTTCACTTTACACCATGCGAAGTTTCATCAAAATCCCAGAACAGTAAACCTGAGATACATAATTACTAAAATCACAGCAAAATATGGTTAATAATGTGCTATTTAAAAAAAATACTCCAAAAATCACTTATGAACTATATTGGAAGTAGAAAACTAACAAGCACAAAGCCACCCATTGAATTGCGAGCCAAATCCAACTTATTATTTTTCAGTGAAAATTAATATTAGGAAGTGATAATAGATGATTAAATGTAACATTTTCATAACTTCATGTAACTTTCATTATAGTTCTAAAAAGTTTAAATTGCTTTAGAAAAAATATGAAAAAAAACAAGCACAATAGTGCTATTTGCATATTCGGAAATAATACCAAGAATATAAGTGCTATTTAGAAAATCAAAAATAATACCAAATATAAGTACTCCTGATGTGTTTGTAAATTCGCAACGACTGCTTCCGACGGTATCTTTCGTTCCATCAGCAGTGTTAAAGCATGATCGACATCCACATTCATTAGCGTTGGAATCTTGTCAACGATGTGATCGTATAGATCATATTTTCGAATCAAGTCGAATACTTCTTTATGCTTTATTCTACAAATAATGCAAAAAATATTAATTTCTAATAAAGCTTTTATTACAAGTAGTTTCCAAGCGCAATATGTTTTCAGCGCAGCTGTGGCAATCAGTTTATAAAGACCAGCCGTAATTACGTATAACGATTTATTAAATTTTTGTAAAAATAGAAACAAGAAAACACACTTATTTAAGTCAATTTTAGATAAAAAAACTAAACAAAAGAAAAGAAGAGTATTTTTCATTTCGAGCAATTTAAAGTTAATACAAGTTTACAATATTCAATACAAGTTGAAATATTCAATTTATTTTTTTTGTTTATTTTCTTTATTTATTTATTATAGACAATCATAAATACGAATTTCTATGAGCCTATGTAATCCAATAAAATATTCAAAAATTGAATAAAATATAAATATTGAATATTTTAAAGGATCATATTAATTGTTTTAATAAATATTAAATATTCTATTTTGTTTTTGTTTAATGAAATATGATTTATAATGATGATGAACTTATACGTGTCGAACTGATAAAGTATCTAAATTAAACAATAGATAGCACACATAATGCGCAACCATGATTCATTCATAAAATCGAAAAGCTTGCATCAATCATGATATTTGGCTATTGCCTATAAGCTATTTCAATTTTTACGAAAATACGTGGTGAGTATTTATTTATAGGAAATTAATTAGTTTTGTGTATTAAATAATATAAAAAACGAGTGTTTTTAACAAAATATTAGTGATATGGATATATAAATTATTACAGGTGCATAATCTATTCCTTTATAATTTTTCTAAATAATCTGTAATAACCATCATTAATTAATATTAGTCAATAGTTCATAAAAAACATTGTCTTTGACAGAATAAACCTGATGATGGGACGTATCTAGTTCCAAAACGTTGTCATTAAACATCTTCAAAAAAAAAACAAATTGTTTTTTATTAATGGATTTACTGTTCGGAAAAGAAACACACAATATTTATTTATATATATATATATATATATATATATATATATATATATATATATATATATATATATATATATATATATATATATATATAGAGTGAAAGATAGAGAGAATAAGGCATAAAACACTCACGTGAGATACATGGATAAAGCTTTATCATATTTTTTCTCGTGTGAATAAAGAACAGCCAATGCTTCAAGCAAAATTGTATTATCAACATTATCTTTTTTGCAAATTAGTAAATGCTCTAACACCGCTGACACTACTGCTGAAGTATTATATAATTCCGGATTCCATTCACTTATTAGCTGCAAAAAACCCTGAAATAAAAGCATGTATTAAATTCAAATAATACATTACAAATCGTTATACATATACATAATGCGATTTCATTCCTATACACAATCGCATATTTATACAAATATCATAAACCTTAATCGGAGATACGGAGCAAATAGTGCAAAAAATGTCAATTCCGTTTTTTGAGAAAACCGAGCATCCAGAATGATTGAAGAACCATTTTACTGAATGAATAATTTATTATAATTTCGGATGGTAGGTCCAGCGTTTTTGGAGATATAGTAATAAAGTTAAAAAAAAGTGGCATTTGGCGGTCAAAATTGAACATAACTCATATACATTTTAAATTATCAGATATTGTATAGAGATTATGATAATAAGTACAAATTTTGTTTCCACTTTTTTAGGTTTTGTATCAAAATTTATAATTGATATTATAATAAACTTTATTTAAATAGTTCAAACAATTGTTAAAAAAAAACAATATTCTTGACATTTTTAACAGTATGGATCAACCGATTCAAATGATTTAAAAAGTATTTTGTTCGTACTGTCGGTGAAGAGTGGTGATCCGTTTCGGAGGTATAAAGCCAAGATAGCAAAAAATGGTCATGCATATTTGAGAGAATGCGATTAGAATAATGGTTCAACTAGTGAAGCATGGGCGTCGAGCCTTTAAGGAAAATTGCTGAAACTTTCCGTATCAAAAATAAATTTTTTTGAAAACTTACAAATTTCTTAAATTGTGATTTTTTTTTAAAAATTCGAAATATGTTCAAATTATTGAAAATTTTGAACTTTTTTTAGAACTTTTTTGAGATGAAATATTGAAGTGCGTAAAAATGCAAAACACCCGTAGAAATGTAAACAAAATTTGTACTTATTATTAACATCCGTATAAAATATCTGATTATATGATGTGCATATGCCAAATAGCTTTTTTTTTACTTTTTGCATTGGATCTTCGAAACCGCTAGACGGACCTTTCCAAAAATTTAATCAGCTCTTCATTTTGTCAATACAAGTAAAATGATTTCTAAATTATTGATATTGGACGCTCCGTTCTCACAGAAACTGTGAGAACCATACCATTTTTCGCGCTTTTGGCCCCGTATCTCCGAAATGGCTGCACCTTTGTTAAAAATTAATCGTGCTGATTAGTTTTTAACAAAGGTGCAGTCTCCTTATCAATAGGAATTGAAGGTTTTTTGGTTGATCCTTGTTCACGAAATTTTTACAAAAAATTGTATCCGAACACACACACACACACACATACATACATTTTTTCTAAGGTATGCTAAAATGTTCAGAAACTATTAAAACGGAAAGATATACTAGTGAGGTGCATGGCATCGTGCCTCAAAGCAAATTGCTGGAACTTCCCGCACCGTAATTAAAAATCTTGGTACAAAACCCAAAAAAAATACACAAAATGTGCACACATTATGAAAATCTCTATAAAATATCTGATAATTTGATGTGCATAAGTCCAATAAACATTTTTGACTGCCAAATGACATTTTTTAAACTTATTTTTATTGAGAGTCCATTACCGCTGGACCTGCTTTCCCAAAAACTTAATCAGTTTTTCATCTTGTCAATAGAAGTAAATGTTTTTAATGAATTAATTTTAATGGATTATTAAAATCGGACGCTCCGCTCTTTTAAAAACTGAGTTACCGTTTTTGGCACTTTTTGCCCCGTATCTTCAGAACGGCTAGACCTGCTTCCGCCAAAGCTAATCAGCACGTCTCCTTATCAATACGAATCGAATGTTTTTTTAAATTATTGAAATCGGTTGATCCGTGTTTCCGAAATCGACGACGAAAATTTGTATCAGCACACACACACACACATACACACATAAATCCATTTTTCTAACGCAAGGTAACGTAAGGTACGCCAAAATATTCAGAAACCTTTGAAATGTAAAGATATATAAAAAAAATCATAAACTGGAACATCATACAAATTATATAGTCACTCAGCTTCTTGAGACACCAACTTCAAGAAGACTGAAGAAGAAACTGCCCAAAGATAATATGGAGGACCCTTAGAACTATTGTAACTTCATGTGCACAGAATAGTAGAATTACTTATTGAAGTATTCCCTAACAATGTAATATTTAGCAGATTAATTTATATGTGTGTGTATGTGTGCGAGAGAATGACATAAGCCAAATAGCCCATAGAATGACCATGTATTCTGATTGCTATTGAAAATAAAATAAAAAAATCGTTTTTTTTGCGATTACTATAACTTACCATATGGGAAATTAAAAGCTTGTGTTGACGGTATGAAGAAATGATTAGTTTTTAGGGAAGGCAATTCCAGTGGTATAAAAAATTATGATTGAGATTGGTTTAGTTAAATGAAATATAGTTTTAATTTTAGGTCATTGTGGTGCATTGGTATAAAAACTAAATACATGGATTTTTCTAATTTTCAATTATATTTTTATTTATTTTAATTTAAATATAGAGTTGAGCCTAAAAAATTTTTAGTTGCATTTACTTTTTTTCTATAATAAAAAAATAATATTTTTTATAACTGTTGAAATTTAAAAAAAATTGTCAATCATTTAGTACTAAGCTTATAAAAAAATAAATTTAAAACGATGGTGACTTTATATATTTGATTCTAAAGTTTACAAAATTTTATGCCCATAATTTGTTAGTAATATTTACTGTTCAAATAAAATTAAACTAGTGGGGTGTATGGCATCGTGCCTTAAGGCAAATTGCTGTAACGAAATGTTCGAGGAATACTGAATGTTTTCAAATAGATTATCATAAATATTGTAACATTGTCTAATATTTATAAGAATTATATAAATTGAATTGCAAAGAACTATAGTCAGAATTTTAAAAAATCTGAATTATTTTCGATATACAAAAAATTTTTTTTTGAAAAAAAAAATTGAAAAATAAAGTTGAAACAATTTTTTTTTCCAAAATCAATTATTTTATTAAGACAAGCAGAAAGTTCTTTGAATTATTTAAATCGGACGCTTAGTTTTCTCAAAAACTGCCATTTTTTGGACATTTAGCTCCGTATCTTCGAAATGGCCGGGCTTGCCTTTGCCAAAAACTAATAAAAACTTCTCCCAATCATTACTAATTGAATGTTTTTTAAATCATTCAAATCGGATGCTCCGTTTTCTCAAAAACTCGATTTCTATTTTCTGCACTCTTTGCTCTTTATCTCCGTAACTGCTGGACCTGCCTTTGCCAAAAACTAATCAGCTATCTCTTCCTATCAATAGGAATCGAATGTTTTTTGAGCCATTTAAATCGGTTGATCTGTGCGCCCGAAAACGTGACCGAAAAATTGTATCCATACATACATACACACACATATTTAAATAAAAAATCAAGTTAAGAATTATAACATTTTAGATCCTCCCCCCATAAAGTAATGCCTAACGGCGGTTTCCGTGGGGACCATAGGCAAGGGCAAAGCAGTGGTTTTAGTCGGTATTATACCAGGGCGGTATTGAGTCCGACATACCCAGACAAAACACCAGTCTGAAATGCATAAAGGCATTTCCTTCGCTATACATAAAAAACACACACACATCCATTTTTTCTGAGGTATGCCAAAATGTTCAGAAACCTCCAAAACGTCGAGAAATGTAAAAATTTTCAATTTCGATTTTCGGCCCATTACAATAACTTACCCTACGAAGTTAATTAATTAAGTACTAGTTTAATCAAAGGTAAAAGTAAATTCCTTTAATATTTAATTTAATATTTTATTTAAGTTTATTTTAATATTTCTGAAGAGGTGGATATTAATCCATATCCCCAAAAAGTTGAAAATTAAATAAATTTTATTTTTAAATGAGATGATGTGATAATTGCTTAATAAACTTATTTACCTGCGGGTCATATTTCAGATATTCATATAATACCATTTCATAAATTTGAGGATCTAGTTTTGTTTCTAATGTTCTTGGTAAATATGGACTAATGGATCTGAAAGTAACATATTTCATTATAATATGTAATACTAAAATTATACTTCAATATATAAATATACAAAGTAGTTATACAGAAATAAATAAAAAAGTATAATAAATCAAAAGGTATTTTATTTAATATAAGTTAGAAATAGTCAGTACCTTAAATTATGAGACACTGCAAATTTGTAGGACTGTTCTTCCCATAGTGTTTTATCGTTAGTGAAAACAGTGAAACAAAGTTTTGCTGCTTTATCATAGTTATTTTCTGATATTAAAAAGTCAATATATTTTCGACCAATTTGTATATCATTCCAGCGACTTGAAGTACAATTATTTTTTACCAAAACTGCCATCGCTTGGTCATATTTGCTATGAGTAAAGTAATTAATATAATAACCCAATATAATACATTACAAAACAATCTAATAATTTATTGTAGATATTTTAAATACTCAGTTTTGACTATAATATTTTGCAGATTTTCTTTAGGTCAATTTGAAATGGGTTCCTTCTGGTCTCACTACTGATTTTATTTTCGGACCATTTCTCAAAGAAGTATTTTAATTATACTTTTCATAAGCATTTTTAAGCTAATTTTTGTGTGAAAAACGGAAAGAAATGCACTAAAACGTTCTTGGAGAGGATATAGTATAATTACAAGATAAAATGAAGATCTTACTTGTGATCGATTAGCCATTGCAATTTGTCATCCTGGTCATATAGGCTCGCAATTATAACATCTTTTGGGGACATAATAAACAATTGATTTTCTTCAATTAAACAGTCAAGATGGTAATCATTGCAAGTATACTCTTGATAGCTGTACAATATTTTTATAGCATTAATACAACACTACTGATAAAGATTCAAAATTGCATAATGTTATAAAAGGCAATAAATTACCCACGTAGCGTCAGAGTATCTGTACATACTTCTACGTAATCCGAATCTTTATAATGTAAAACAGATAAAACAGGACGCAGTGCTTTCCCTGTGCTGGGATCTTTTTCTTTTGGATATCCTAAAACTACCAGCTGGTCTGGCAATTCTAAGGGACCGAGACCAGATATAAAAAAGTCCATCTGGAATGTAGATACTAAAACAAAAATTAAAGTTATTGGCATTGCAGAATGATTGAGATGTGTAGTAATATGCTTTAAAATACCAAATAAAAATTACTTTCGTAAAATAATCATTTCATAAATATTTCTTAAGAATTTATATTTATATTCATTTCAGTAGGTCTGATATACGGTAACGATCTATTTCTCATACCCCTAAGTGATAAGGTTTAGCCACTCTTATAAACTTCCCGAAGGAGAAGTTAATATTTTCTTTTTTTTAATTCTGGGACGAAATCTTTCGCTTTCATTTTTTTATAATATGGCAATGAAAAATGCATACGACCCTAAATTTTGAAGTAAAACTTCTTTAGGCGCGACTAGGGAGTAAAGCTGTACAAATGCTAAGGAAATAGCGTTACGCCCGGACAGTTTGTCATTCGCTCTCGATGAAATCATTTGTATACGCGTCGATTGTGATTAGTCGCCGTGTCACGTGAATAGAGATCTGCCGTTGTATGCGTAAGGATACTAGAAGGAAATTGGAATGGCATTATTAGTTTTGATGTTACATCGTAGTACAAATCTTGATTTAATAAAAAAAAACGCCTGAATCTGAAAAATATTTTACACTGTGCCCCGTAAATAATTATAATGAAAATAATAAAATAAATGAAACATTTGTGCCGTGTACGAAATGTAAGTTTATTGAAATAATTTCTATATTATTCGTAGTTTCTATAAATCTTTGAAGTTATTGAAATGGAAAATATTTTTATGAGATTGTATCGTCAGCAGAAAAGTAAAAAAAACAAGCAGTCAATGAATGTATGTTAATTTTATTACATGAAGTTCTTCAAACACAATTACATGATGAGTGAAATTGTGTAAACAATATTTGTTTAGGCGTTGTTTAACATAATCTACTGTGTAAACGAATATTATAGAATTTATTAATCAGCAATTACTTCATTTCTCTAATGAATGTTCAAGTCGTAAATGCTAATTACAATGACAAACCAATCATGTCATATTTAAAATAAGCATGACTATGATTACATTATTGTTTTCAAATATTATACATATTTTTAATGCTATCATTAATATATAATTTATAATTTATCATTATATAAATGTGTATAATAGTCAACACTAATAAATGTGTGCATCACGAGTGTTACAATATTACTAATAAACAATATAAATAAAAATAGTTTTTTGATGTATTTATTTTTAACATAAATGCCATCTCGCACAATAGCAAAACAGTTTTACTTCAATCGCGCGTGAATCTAACGCGCACTATTTTTTTTCTTTTTTATCAGCAACTTCTACTTTTTATTGCCATTTTATTAATTGAATCAATTTTTATCTCGCGTTCGGTCATTGAATATTTTTGACATAATTTTAGTTCAGATTCATGAGCTGGAAGAAAAAGTTTGAAGCTTACTTTAAAATATAATTTATTATTAAGGGTTGTTTAATTTTCTAAATTAATAAAAAACGTGGTAATAATATGTATTTAAATTTTGGTTTTTAACTTCCCGAAGGAGAAGTTTATGTTTTCATAAAAAAATCCGGTTCTCTAATGATAACGAGACTTAATTTGGAAAAAGTATGTGGGTGTGTGTGTATGTGAACAGATTTTTTGACGTAAATCGACGTTTTCTCGAAAACGGCTAGATCAATTTCAAAAATTTAAAAGCCATTCGATGTATCTCGATGAGGACTGGCGGTTATCACCCAAGCCGTTTCAAAAAAATTTCGTCCACGTTTTAGCCCGCAATTCTGAATCGATTTTGAAATTCAAATTCAAAAACTGTTCGAAAGATATTGGTTGGGAATCGTGCTGATAAGTTTTTTGGTAAAGATCGGCCGAACCGTTATCTTGTAATAAAGTGATAAAAAGAGATTTTTCGACGATTTTTATGATTTTTTTTGACGTTAGACACCATAGTCTTATAGATCATACTAAAATGTTATGGCACTTTAAAAAAATCATAAAATTCCGTAAGAAAATTTATATGTACATACATACGGAAGTGTTAATTTCTTAATAAACATTGATTTTCGTTGATATATTTGTATGCATTTGTTATTATTAATAAATGCACAACATAATTCTTCATACATTCGATTATACGAATGCCTATCGACAACAATTAGTCCAGTTAATCGAGTTTCTAGTGTATATAAAATTTGCTCGTAACAAAGTTTGTTCCCATACTCCTCCGAAATGGCTTTACCGATTTTTACCAAATTTTATATTCGTATTCAGTAGGTCTGAGGATTGGTAATTATCTATTTTCCATACTCCTAAAAGTGATAAGGGTTGTTCACCTTTATTTTTTTTGTAATTTTTGGTCAGAGTTCTATTGTTTTTATTTTTTTATAATGGGGAGCATTGGGGAGCTAGTACCATATAAATCTATATCAGAGCTGAAACATTTTCCATTCTCTAATATTTTATTCAATCTCAGTCTATTCTGTGTGCATGCCAGATAATAGTATAATTTAAAAATATTGGATTTTGCTTATTAGTAATTTAATAGTTAATGAATTAATGCAAACGCTCTGTAAAAAAATATAATCAGTTTCATATTAGGTTAGCACTTGCAAAGACTATTAATATTTATTTATTTATTTATTTATACGCCAATCGGCGTATTTCTAAGAATTCTGGTGATTCAATAAAGCCGTTTACTATCTTGTAAAAGAAAAGCAAGTCCGTGATTTTTCTACGCGCGGTAAAGGTGTTATTTCTGCTTTTCTTTATGATGTCATCAGCATTGCATTCCCCTGCATTTTATAGTAGGCAAAGTTCGACACATATTTCTCAAACTTATATT